TCCATAAAAAGAGATTGGTTCAAAATTATTATCATACTTCCATTATATATGATATTATGTTAACATTTTTTGAGTTGTTTAAATTAAATATTTCGAAATTAAATTTTTAATAATGAAAATCTGTATATAACAAACTATATTATTATATTTGATTATAATAAATAAATTTATATTTAGTTTTCTAATGTTAATTGAGAATATGTTATTCTGTAAATAAATAGCACATGATAAAAAGCCATTGATTGCAGTTTGTTTAAATTAGGATTGTAAAGAGTCTTGTGGTTTGTGTATTAGTTGTTTTTTGAATCACAAAAATCATAATGATGATTTATAGACTATTGAAATAGTAAGAAAGAAACTTGATGATCATATTTAAAAGATGAAATAAAATTTTTAATTTTGTGATGATCTAATCCAATTAATAAATTTAGTAAAAATATAAATAAATCGGACAATATAAAATATTTAGATCGTTTAAAAATTTTCAAATCATGCAGATATCGATAAGGTGAAAGAATTGTTAATAAAATCTTAAGCAAATAAATAAGATACTTCTATTTTTAAAAAGATAGATATAGAACTAAAAAAAGTAAAGGAAATTTTATGTGAATTAAAATTTTCAATTGAATATTCACAGTCTAATCTTAATGATGGATAGTAATAAGAATTTTAAGAATGTTTAAAATAAGCTAGTTAAGTTTATATATAGGGATAGTATGAATAAGCAAAAGGTCTATTTATGCACTGTTTAAAACTTGATCCATTTAATATAGACTGTAAATGGAAAATAGGTATGTGCTTAAAATTGTAAGGTTTTTATGATTAAGCAATTGGAGTTTTTGATTAAATAAATGCAGAAAATCCAAACTATGTGGAATCAATTTGTCATAAAGCAGATTGTCTAAGACTTTAAGGTAAATATGAAGAGGCATTAAAACACTTTGATTAGACATTAATGTTAGATGATAAAAATTTTGTAGGTTTGAGTTATAAAGGTGAGACTTTAAGAAAGTTACAGAGATTAGAAGAGGCTTTGATATATTTTGATAAGGCTTTGATGATAAATCCAAAAAATGCAATAACTTTATTTGGGAAAGGTAATTTTATTATATAAAATTGATAGGAGATTCATTGAGATGTTTAAAAAGATATGATGATGCTTTATATATACTTAATTAAGGATAATAAATAGATCCTAATAATATATTAATCCTATATTCAAGAGGTAATGAAAATGAAGATTGATTATTTAGGATATACCTTGAAAGCTAAAGGAAAAGTTTAGGAAGCATTAGAATGTTTTGAGAAATGTATAGCTATAAATCCATAATATAAAAATTAATTAGAAAAAGAAATTGCATCAATAAAGAAATGATTATAGAATAAAATTAAATAATAAATATATTATATTTTTATAGATACAGCTAAATTCGATTTTCTAGTTACCTCATTCACATGATGATATAGGTTACTTAGATACAGTATAGAACATTAAAGAATTTGGATTATGAGTGAAAAATATCATTACATCATATTCCATATAATCATAAACTCTAATAGAATAATATATGAAAAGCTTGTTTCAATAATAACAGAATAATAATTACACTTATGACAATTAAAGAATGGTAATCATCTAAATTTAGTATTAAATAAATCTTTATATTATAAGTTCTACCTTTATTTATATCAGATGAATTATCATAAATAATTTATCATAAATTTTCTTTTATTTCTTCCACTGAATAAATTGATTAATTGTCAAAAGTAGAAAACAATCTTATATACTAAATTACTTTTCTTAAATCTTGCTATAATAATAAACATATTCCTAAATAATTCTATTTATTTGTTTTACCTTTGAATCTCAAACTTTTGGTTATCTCTGGAAATTTTTATATTATTATATTGAAGCATAACATTGCTTCATATGCTCTTTCTTCTTTTAGTAACAAAGCACCTACTATGTAATTAAATACTATACCTTTCTTAAGATATATTTAAGGATCATTTATTTATGCAGCAATTGCGTCATCATAACATTAAATTGCTTCTTATTTTTTTTCATACAAACTTAAAAATTCAGCTATCAAATTTAATCTGTATTTTTACCTTTATTTAAATAAATTTCTTTATTACTTGAATTTTATTAAATTGCTTCATCAAAACATTAAATTCCTTCTTCTAATTTATTTAAATTCGCTAAAGACAATGCTATAATAAAATTTCTAACTCACCTTTTTTAAAATATATTTAACAATTTTAGGGATCAATTTAAATAGCCTAATCAAATTAAGAAATTTCTTCTTTAAATTACTTCAAATAATTTAATAGATTTGCTTTTCATTTATATATAAAAATACCACCTTTCTCTAAATAAGTTTTTATATAGTAAGGGTTTATTGATATAGCTTAATCATAACATTTTAAAGCTTATTCATAGTTCATTTGTAATAATAAAGCTTTCCCTAAATTTAAAGTTTTATATATCACCTTTGCTACAATAAAATTCTATTTAAAATGGATTTATTCTTAAAGCTTAATCATAACAATCAATCAAGTTCTTATTCGTACCACTATATTCTATTGTTTACGCTGATATTTATTTTTTATCTTTACCCATCCTTTTAACAGTTTAATCATCATATTGGGCTCTCTCTAAAGCTATTTTTATACAATTTAGTGCATCAACAATTCTAAATGTGCCTATTAAAAAATCAGCTAATAGAATTTAACTTAATTTTACTTTTTTTAATATAAATTTAAGAATTATAAGGATCTATTTAAATGGCTTAATCTAAAAATTCTATAATTTCATTTATATCATTTTGGGAATTTAATAAATTGCCTAATAATTAGCTTTTTTACTCTTTTCAATATATGAATATGTAAAATATGGATTTATGTTGATAGCTTTATCGATTAATTCAAGTGCTTATAACTTATGAGACCAAAAACCTAATATCATACCTTAAACAGAATAATTTAGAATTTACCTTTAGCTAAATATGGTAAATAATTATCTAAATCATGTCTTAAAATTAGATTTTCATGTTCTATTGCTTCAAATAAATCAATAGAATTAAGTAATTGTTTTACTAAATGATAGTAAAATGTACTTAAATTAATTTATAGATCAAATTCGTAAGGAAATTTGAGAGTTGCTTCCTTAAATACTGAAAAAGCTTCTATATTTCTTTTTAATTAAATTAGAGAAGTAACTAAAATAAAATAAATATTATCTTTTACTTATTTTAATATAAATTTGGTGATTATTAGGTTAAAATTTGAGAGCATATTAATATGACTATATCGNATCAAATTAAGAAATTTCTTCTTTAAATTACTTCAAATAATTTAATAGATTTGCTTTTCATTTATATATAAAAATACCACCTTTCTCTAAATAAGTTTTTATATAGTAAGGGTTTATTGATATAGCTTAATCATAACATTTTAAAGCTTATTCATAGTTCATTTGTAATAATAAAGCTTTCCCTAAATTTAAAGTTTTATATATCACCTTTGCTACAATAAAATTCTATTTAAAATGGATTTATTCTTAAAGCTTAATCATAACAATCAATCAAGTTCTTATTCGTACCACTATATTCTATTGTTTACGCTGATATTTATTTTTTATCTTTACCCATCCTTTTAACAGTTTAATCATCATATTGGGCTCTCTCTAAAGCTATTTTTATACAATTTAGTGCATCAACAATTCTAAATGTGCCTATTAAAAAATCAGCTAATAGAATTTAACTTAATTTTACTTTTTTTAATATAAATTTAAGAATTATAAGGATCTATTTAAATGGCTTAATCTAAAAATTCTATAATTTCATTTATATCATTTTGGGAATTTAATAAATTGCCTAATAATTAGCTTTTTTACTCTTTTCAATATATGAATATGTAAAATATGGATTTATGTTGATAGCTTTATCGATTAATTCAAGTGCTTATAACTTATGAGACCAAAAACCTAATATCATACCTTAAACAGAATAATTTAGAATTTACCTTTAGCTAAATATGGTAAATAATTATCTAAATCATGTCTTAAAATTAGATTTTCATGTTCTATTGCTTCAAATAAATCAATAGAATTAAGTAATTGTTTTACTAAATGATAGTAAAATGTACTTAAATTAATTTATAGATCAAATTCGTAAGGAAATTTGAGAGTTGCTTCCTTAAATACTGAAAAAGCTTCTATATTTCTTTTTAATTAAATTAGAGAAGTAACTAAAATAAAATAAATATTATCTTTTACTTATTTTAATATAAATTTGGTGATTATTAGGTTAAAATTTGAGAGCATATTAATATGACTATATCGCCTGAGCATACTTATTCCATTTAATTAAAAAATCACCTAAATAATTTTTCATTATTACCTTAAAAATAATATGATTCAAATTAATATGGAAATTACTTAATTGCTAATTCATAACATATCATAGCTAAATCATATTAATGTAAATTTTATAAAAGCTATGCTAAATAAATATCAATTATATAAGTACCTTTAGCTATCAATAAATCTAAGTTCTTTTCTACTTTTTAAATGGCTTCATCATAGAGTTTCAATGCTTACTAAGATTTATGCTAAGATATTAAACTTAATCCTATTTGATTTAAAATTTAAATAATTAATACCTTTTCTTAAAAATATATTGCAATCAACAGGAAAATTTAGAATTATGTGATCATAACATAAAATTTCCTATTCATATTTGTACAAATTATTTAAATAAATTGCTAATTAAATTATGGATCACTACCTTTTTAAAGATAAACATCTTAATAGTTTGGGAATCGTATGATTGCTTAATTGTAACATTCTATAGCTTCATCAAATTTTTATAAACCATTTAGAGCAAAAGCTATAAAATTATATTTAATTAAAACACTTAAGAAAATAGATTTCATAGCCATAAACCTTTTTTTGAGTATCTTCTTCAACTATAGAAAAAGGTTCTTTTTAAATCCTTTTATTTTCTATATTTTATAATAACAAATCCCTAAAATTTGTTGTCTAATATTTTTCATATAATTTATTTACTTCTTAACTATAAATTAAAGCTTCATCATATTTATTCAATGAAATTAGCAAATTAACTTTGAATAATTAAAAATTAAAATTGAATGGATCTTGAGCTATAGCTTCATCAATAGTATTAATAGCTTCATCAAATCTATTCATTTTAAATAGAAGTTTTGCTAAGAATAAGTAATATAATAAACCTTTGGAAATTGAAATATTTTAGTTATATCTAGCTTTATTAATTGCTTGATTATAAATTCTGAGAGCATCTTCCGACTTTTGCATTAATTCTAAAATCCTTGCTATTTAAATAAGAATTCTGTAAACCTCTTTCAAGATAAACTAAAGGATTATTTGGACTTCTTTTATCTGCTAATTCTATGCACTCAATAGCTTCTTATAATAGCTTTAATGATAATAAAGTTTTTGCTAAAATAAATAAATGGCAAACTTTTGTCGAGATAGACTTGAATATGATTTGGATCTATTTTAATAGCTTTATCATAATGAATCAATGCTTGATCATACTTTTAGATATTGTATAAATATTAAGCTAAAGATAGTTGATTGAAATTAACCTTGTTTGAGTTGAAGTTCTAAATTGAATGGTTACAATGTTTCTAATAATGTTAATAGAGGAAGAAGATCATCATAAGTAAAATCCAATTAATAATTAAGAGTGCTATTCATATAAATAAAATAAAATATATAATATGATATACATTAGATAATTCTCAAAAGGATCCATATTAAATTTATGATAGATCCAAATTTGGGTTATTTTGCAATTATGTAAAAAGATCTTGGTTCAAGAATTCTTAAAACTTAGAAATGATAGAAAATAAATACTTATTTGAATTAATCAGCTGGTATTGCTTATTTTCTAATATTTTCATAGAACTTTTCAACTTTGATAGCTAATTTAAGATCATTAAATTAAGCAGGATAATCAAAAGGATCAGCAATTTTTTAAGCTTAAAACAATAATAAAATAATATACATATAATAGGATGTGTTTTAGCTAAGGATTCTTTCCATAGTTTAACAATTGGAGTTAATTTAGAAGGACAATATGTTTTAGCAAAGAAGGCAGCTTCAGGGAGTCTATTGCTTTTGATAAGAACTTCAAGACATTTATCTAGATTAGCACATAAAAAATATGCAGAGAATGCAATATTCATTTTTGTTTATTGAAAAGCTTTATCAGCTAATTGTAATAATTGATTTTTTAATCCTAAAGATGAATATATTAATAAGAGTCCTCCAAAATCATCAGCTAATTCTAAGGCTTGAACAGCAATTTTAATTCTTCCTTATTATAATGCAAGATCTCCTACTTATCTTAATTTAAGCATATCTTAAGATTATTAAGCTATTTAAAATGCGTCATCTACAATGGCAAGTTATAGAGAAAGATCAAATTTATGATCTTAATCTTATACTAATTTATAAGCCCATTCTTTAAGATTCAGAGTATCAAGAAACTTAGATAATTTATCATAGTATTAAAGTGGTATAGTTTATAAAATCTCTTCTGCTTTTTGATATTGTTTTTTTAAAATTTAAGTTTAAAATTCAACAACATTACTATTAACTTCATAACTAATTATTGTATAATTTTTATCGATAAGATATAGTTTATTTTATTATTGAATGTAACCAATTATAAAGTATTTTTTATCTTGATCCACTATGAAAATTTTGCCATTAACAGAATATGCAATTTTTCCATTAAGAGTAGTATAATAGAAAACATCTTGAATGAAATAACCAGAGTTTATTGATTCAGTTATATCACATAAAGGTTAGAAAGCATCTTCAAATCCATCAGGTTCTTCATCTTGTTGTAAAAATATTGGTAATTATTCTGGATCATATTATAAGAAATACACTTCTTCATTAGTAGCTAATGCTGCTATTGTATTAGAATCATTCCAAATAACTTTTTTAGGTGATACATCAATTCTTCTGATAACTTTTGCAGTTTCCCAATCATAAAATATTATAAACTCAGAACTTCTAGCTCCAAATACAGGTCCAGCAAATAATTGTTCAACCATATAGTCTGTTTTCATTTCATAACTCATAGTGTTGTTTTTGAATATTTTAATTGAATACATTTCCCTAACAGCATAATCGCCATTTGATGACCATATTAAATCAGTACCTTATCCAAAACCTGAATTTTTAAAGTTTTATGATCTATAAATAGTATATTCTGAATCACTAAAAATAGCAAACATATGTCCATTTGGACTGTGTCTAACTCCACAAGGATAGATATCACTTATTCCTAATTCTTTTGAATTTGTTTATACTAACTATCCATCATTTGATGTATTATTAACAGCTTTAAGATTAATAGTAAAGAATTCAAAATTTTTACCATAAACAACTTTTCCTTATTACATAGATACAATAGGTTCATCTTAACCAATCTTAACAACAACAGTTCCTTCATCAAATCCAAATGCTAAAGTATTATCTTTTCCAATGTCTAAACTCCAGACTCTTTCCATATTGTAATTAAGGGAGGTTTCTAATTTGTAAGTATTTGAATGCCAAAATCGAATGACTCCATCTTCAGCAGCTATAGAATTATGCTAATTTGTGTATACTTGATATAATTAATGGTAAATCAGGATGGAATCTAGCTGATGATATATTCTGTTAATGCGCTTCTAATGTATGTATACATTATTTAGTTTAATAATCCCATATTTTAATAGATCTATCATCACCTCCTGATATTAAATAAGGTTTATCTCCATGATGGAAATCTACACAATTAACTCCTCCTTCATGACCACTTAATGTAAAATTAGGTTTGCTATTTTGAATTGTCCATACCTTTACTGTATTATCCATACTTGCACTTGCAAATGTATTAGGATCTCTTGGATTGAATGCAACCATCATTACATAATTTACATGATCCTCAAATGTTCTTATTAATGCAAAATTATTATCCATATCCCATAATTTTATTGTTGTATCATCTGAACTAGTTATTAGATATGGTTATGATGGATGCACAATTACACATCTAATATAGTCTGTATGCGCATCAAATGCCTATTTATTAACTTCAATTTACTTTTATCTTTTCATTTGTATTATAATTGAATACTCTCAATTATAAATCATCACTCACTGCCACTACCCATTATTTCTTTGTTATAAACTTCGCACATCTTACAGGTTACTGTTTCTAATTTACTTCTATTTATTTCACAATTGTCTAATAATCTATTTTATATATACCTAATTGCCATAATCTTGAATTGTTATAACACCACTATATAATCCTGATAAAACCCATGCATATTCTGGATGCAACTCTACACTCTTTACTCTTTCAGAACGAGCTACATGCTTCTTTTTTATTTCAAACTTCAAAGACATTTAATACGTGTAAATTTTTTATTTTAATATTTATTTTTGCTTTTCCTTCTAAAATAATCAAATGCAAATAATTATTTCATTTTCAATTTTACATAAACATTTGCTTTACATACAATTTCAATGTATTTACAATTTTAAATATCCAATTAGCATAATCTTCAAAATTATATATATTATTTTTTGCCTTATATTTTCAGAATCTAGAAAAAATTTACTATTTATTACATTTATCAGAAAGTCAGTATAATCTAATTTAATTCATATATATTTATTCTATTTTCTAATATTTTACAAATTCTATTTGGTCTATTAAATTTATTTATTGATAAACACATATTTAATAACTATATCATAGTCTCCATTTATTCTTGCATCTAAGAATTTTAATTCATTATTAAATTAATGATTTTCTTTTGCATAAATAATTGTAAGAATGTTTTAATCCATCATATAAATTAAGAACTAATAATATTGTGAAAGTTATAAAATTAGTAGTATTTAATTTTATAGGATCATAATCTGTCAACTTTGGTGATAATTAATTAAATTAATAAAATAAATAAATAAAAACTCAAACCTACTTTTAGTATACTACAATTATCAATAAAGAACCACTAAAAATTACTTAAATTAATCACTAGATACTTTTTTCACATCAAAATATAATTAATTCTCTGATAAAAACCACAATCTATTCAATTTTATCTATTATATAAGAAATTGTAGATTTAATTAAAGGTTTAAAGTTACTTTAACATAATTAATTGATAATGCTTGACTTTCTTATTCTCCTTCACATCCAAGAGCAAAGATTTTGATATTATTGTGTTAATACCTTAATCTTACATTTTACTATAAATCCTTAATTTAATTATATATTATAAAATTATCATTCAAGAAGAGCACAAACAACATCTTTACTATAGATTTTTCTCTTTTTTAAAATAGATTGATCATTTAAATCAGGAGGCATAGCATATCTAATGAATCTCTTTTAATATTCTTCTTCTATGCATTCTTTAATAATGTGTTAATAAAAGTACTCTAAGGTTATAAATGAATATTTAATACTTTTTGATATAGCTTCAGTCAATAACACCAATTTTTCATAATATTTGATATCCCAAACCTTTTTATGCGATTCCCCAAATTGTTATGAAACTTATTTCCATTTTTCTGGAATGTCTAGTTTTTTCACTAGAGATTTTAATTATTAATTTTAAACTGTTTCATCATTTTTTTTTTGTTATTACTTGAACAATTTTTTAGATATATTTATTTCCTCTTTAGTTTTTAAATCTACAGTCTCTTAAACTTTAGTCATTTTAATTGAATCAATATCTAGTATTTGAGGTTTTTCAACTTTAATTTTTTTTTTATTTGGTTTTTCTTAAGCAGGCTATCTATAAGTAATATCTTAAGTTCTTTCAATGATGTCTAAATTTGAGAAAGTAATATCAGTCTTTTAATATTTTGAATATGAAGAAATTAATGAGTGAATTTAATGAGGTTGAATGGTTGGTTGAGGTGTTTATTTCTTTATGAATGCTTTTTTAATTAATACAGTTGGAATTGGATGTTAATATTAAAGTAAATTAATAGAGATGTTAGTTTATTCATCATTGACTTTATCAATTAAGCAATTTAGTAATTATACTGTGTTATTCTCAAAATTGTATTCATATTCATATCTATAGGATTGAATAATAAGGATTGATTATGAATGATTTTAAATGTCAATGAAATATTTGAAATCTTTTGTATCTTAATAGATATTATCAGAAACATTGAGCAACTGAAACTCAGTGTATTTATGTTTTGATCCAAGAAGCTCGTTATGTAGATGTTACTAGAGTAGAGAGTAAATCATAACTCAAAATTTTTTAAATTTAATTGATTGGCGCTGGTAATATTAAAATATAATTAAATATGGGAACGGTGTGCTTAAAAGAACGATTATAAGTTGAGCCTAATTCAATATAAAAAGTGGATGAAAAGGAGGAAGATGAGGAAGTGATTTCTGAGTTTCCTTAAGAAGATGAAGAAGGCTAAGAGATTTAATTAAGTCATTTCATAATGTTAAGAGTATTAACTTTGGTTAATTTAAGAATTTGGGAAAGGGTAGTTATGGAAAAGTTATGTTAGTTTAACATAGAGTTTCCCAAAAATTATATGCAATGAAAGTGTTAATCAAGAGTGCTGTTAAAACAAGTTCATAGAAAAAGCATATTTAAACAGAAAGAAAGGTTTTAGAGATAACGAATCATAATTTTATAACAAAATTACATTATGCTTTTTAGAGTAAAACCAAATTATATTTGATAATGGAATTTGTATCAGGAGGAGAACTATTTTATCATTTGAAATTGAAAGGTAGAATGACAGAAAAAAAGATGAAGTTCTATGCAGCAGAAATTTTAGTTGGATTAGATTATTTACATAAAGAGAATATTATATATAGAGATTTAAAACCAGAAAATATTTTATTAGATTCAGATGGACATATAAAATTATGTGATTTTGGTTTATCGAAAATATGTAGTATGGGAGATATGTATGCTAAGAGTATTTGTGGAACTTTTGAATATATAGCTCCAGAAATCATTCTTGGAGAAATGTATACAAAATGTTGTGATTGGTGGACATATGGAGCATTATTATTTGATATGTTAACTGGTAGACCTCCTTTTTATTAGTTAAGTAGAAAATAAATTATGGAATTTGCTACTGTTAAAGATATTGAAATTCCATCATATTTATCTGAAGAAGCTATTGATTTATTAAAGAATTTATTAAAGAGAAATCCTGAAGAACGATTAGGAGGATAGAGAGATGCTTAAGAAATTTATGAACATCCTTTTTTTAAAGATATTGATTTTTAGAAAATAGAAAGAAAAGAGATTGATCCTCCATATGATTTAGGTAATGAAAGACCTTTTAAATTTTTTGATTAAAATCTAATAAGAAAAAGTAGTGTCCATGATACACCAGTCACGGAATTAGGTAGATTTCAAGATTTCTCTAATTTTACATATAATGGTGACAAATTATCTAATGAATGTAATAAATTATTAATAATTCATTGAAAAAATAATTTTCTTTTTATTATATATATTGATAAATACATTTAATATCATTTTCTTCTTAAATTTGATTCTTTATTTAATTCTATAAATTCACTATTAGATCTTGAATAAATTACTGGATCAGCTGCTTCTGCCATACTTTCAATAGCTGATTCATCAACTCCTCTTTTCATTCTAAAAATAATATTATTTAAAATATTTACCTAAAATTTCCATTTTCTCCCCATTAACTACCCCAACTATTTTATAATAACCAAAATTTAACTCCATTCTCTTCTCCCCAACCATAACATAATACTGAATGATCTACTTTTTCCTATTTATTATTAATATAATTTTATATACCCATTCTGGACGATCTTAAGTAGACCAATCATGTTCAGCAACTGAATGATATATACCACTCTCATAATACATAAAATCATATGATGGTTCAAAATTCATAATTACTGGACCATTTGTAAATAATTCCATCATTATATCTCTTTCATTACTTAATCCATATCCTCCTCCTATATATCTATAATTCTTTGCCCCATAAACTTTTTATTATTATGAAAAATCTATCTTTTTACAAGTTCCTACATCTCCTTTATATGGATATTATTCTTCTGTTACTAAATATTATTCAGATGCA